CAGAGCCTGGAGCCAATTTCAGAGTCTGTATCTCCCTCTCTCTCTGACCCTCCCCTGCTCACGCTGTCTCTCTCTCTCTCCTAGAAATAAGTAAAAAATATTAAAAAAAAAAAAAAAGATTATGACCTGAGCTGAAGTCTGACACTTAACGGACTGAGCCACCCAGAAACCCCAGTGCTCTATTCTTTATGCATTCTCTCACTTTATTCTTTCAGTGGGCCTCTGCAATAGGTTTTATAAATATCTCCATTTTCCTGATGAAGAAACTGAGGCTTAGATATTAAGTGACCTGTCCAAGGTGGTAAATGGTGGAGCTAGCCCCATTTGAACTTGAATACCACAGCCATTTATGTAACCTCTGGGGCTGCCTTAGAAGTCACTGTATAAGTCTTGATTCCCTTCCCCTCTCCCTCCTAGAGGACTCAGTGGTTGTCCCTGCAGCCTTACCCACTTGCCCTTCCTTAGTCTATTTTGTGCCTCATTTGCATGCCAGGTAGTAAAAGGAAACCCCTTTCACTTCTGTGGTTTTAAGCCTCTTGTTGCAAGCCTTAGAAAAACCTGAGTGGGCCCTTAGGGACCTCCATCCCTGGCTGAAAAGAAAGAAAAAAGAACCAAGAGTGAGAGTGGAGACCCATGATTAAAAGCCAGGAAAGGGAGGGCGCAGGAGTCTTGAGGCCCATGGGGGTGAGTGTGGTTCGGGAGGGAAGTGGGAGGAGTCCTCAACTACCCATCTCTGCGGTCTGAGCCTTGGGAGGGAAGGGGAAGGGGTTGCAGCACAAATTACAATGTGGTCTGTCCTGCATCCATCCACATTGAGAGGGGGTGTGATCCGATAGGACCACAGAGCACTCTAAGGTAAATCTTCCTCAGTCCATCCATCCATCCATCCACCCATCTGCCTCCATCCATTTCAGGCAGTTTATTGACACCTACTGTGTGGCAGACAAGATGAAAGAGGGTCCCTCCAGCTGAGGAGTTCAGAGAGGGAGACAAACACTGTAATAAGAGATGCTATAAGGGCAGCAGGACTCTTAGAATGCAGAGTGTAATTCTGCTTGGGAGGAATGAGGGTATTCAGGGAGGAGGGGACACTGGAGCTAGTTCTTGAAGGATCCAGGTGAGTTTTCCCAGAGGAATAAGACAAAAGCATATGTTCTCATTGAACACAGAAGAGAGCATGATGGTTCCTGGAACCCTGAGAAGAGTGGAGGGCAGAACTTATTATCTGAAAGTCCTTTAAATGCCAGGCTAAACTAGAGATGGTGGAGGCTTGACTCAAGGCAGCCTTGATATAGGTGGGGAGGAGGGGAAGGTGGGAGAGATGGCCAGGGTTTTATTCTGAATGGATGGACTTGGAGGACTTCTCTCTCCTTTAGTATTTACTTTTCCCTCCTCAGCTGCTAGGACCTGATAAACCCCAAAGGAGTCATAATTGATAAGGGTCTTTCAGGAAATGATCTAAAAGCAAAGAGGACTCTGTCCATTCTCAAAAAGAGAGACTTCCAGAACCATCTAACAACAAGACTGGGGTCTACTTCCTCATCTTACAGGTGGGAAGATAGGCCCAGAGAGAACTTTGTTTGGGGTCTCCCTCCTCTCAGTCCAGGGTCTGTCTATTGTTGTCAAACAGTGAACACCCACCCCGGGGACAGAATGAAGATGAGGCCGAGTGGCCCCCACCCCAGAAATCCAGAGGGAATCCTTGGAAGCCAGACAGAATGGCCTCCAATGTCCTCCCACACCTAACTCTTATATGAGCCTGGAGACCTCGGAAAGATTTCCAGAACCATCTAAAATGAGGGATAGTGAAATCTAAATAGAAAAATAGCTATGAGGTGAGCTTAGACTCTCTTGTTTTGTTTTCATAACTTTGTTTCTAGAAAACACCTTTTTAAAAGCAGCCATGTGACAATGTTATGAGGTTTCATTTGCACAATAATCCTATGTGGTGGGTTCTATTGGTATCTCTATTTTACAGATATGGAAACTGAGGGGGGGTGGCACCTGGGTGGCTCAGTTGGTTAAGGAGCTGACTTCAGCTCAGGTCATGATCTCACAGTTCGTGGGTTCGAGGCTTACATCGGGCTCTGTGCTGACAGCTCAGAACCTGGAGCCTGCTTTGGATTCTATGTCTCCCTCTCTCTCTGCCCCTCCCTTGCTTGTGCCCTGTCCCTCTGTGACTCGCAAAAATAAAAAAAAAATTTTTTTAATTAAATAAAATATTAAAAATTTTAAAGAAAAAAAAAAACCGGAGGCTCAGTGAAGTAGCTTGAGCAGGAACAACCAGCTAGCAAGTGACAGAGCTCAGCTTTATAGCCTTGATAAGTTATGCTGGCCCATAATATATCCTCGATAAATGATGGCTATAATTATTTCCAAGCTTCTCTGTGAAAATGTATACTTGTTTCATAAGGAGGCTCTTACTTCTCTCAATAAATGTTTTTTAAAAGACCAGTAAACTGGCCTGCTGGGGTAGAGGCTCCCACCTCTCCCACATGAAGTAGATATTTGCTAAGTGTCTGCCGCTCCAGGATCTCAGGCTGGCTTCAGGCCCTGGGTAAGAGGGAGTTATGTGGTAAATCCTGATGCCCGGGCAAATGCCAGTTCACGCTCCCTAGTCTTTATGTGGTGGGAGGCAGTAAGAAGACAGACCACAGAGGCTCCTGAGGCCAGAGCCCCTTCCTCCCGACCTCCCCCACCTCCCATGCTGTTGGTCCTTATGTTCAAGAGCAGAATGAGTGTAAGCAAAGTGACTGTATAAAGTTGCTAATCCACTGACCATGGCTCCACCCCCCCCCCAAAAAAAAAAAAACAAACTTGGCCCAGGAGAACCTCAGAGTTTCTCAACTCACAAACCTCAAGCCTCAGAGAAATTTCTGGGAGCAGCTCAACGGCAAGAGAGCTCTTCCACCTCCGACTTCCAGTAACACCTTCCACCTGAATCTCTCCCTTGGCAGTGGCCCTGGGCCACCTGCACCTTGGCTTATCTCTACCTGCCTGTTTTACCAAAGTGGGAGCTTCTAGAAAGAGCACAGATTCTGGAGGCAGATGGTTCTGGGTTTGAATCTATTTTTACTGATTACCTGCATTGTCCTGAGCAAATCACTTTCCTTTTTTTTTTTTTAATTTTTTAAATGTTTTATTTATTTCTGAGAGAGAGAGAGACAGCGTGAGCAGGGGAAGGTCAGAGAGAGAGGGAGACACAGAATCCGAAACAGGCTCCAGGCTCAGAGCTGATCAGCACGAGCCCAACGCGGGGCTAGAACCCACAAACCGCCAAATCATGACCTAAGCGCAGCCAGACGCTTAACCGACTGAGCCACCCAGGCGCCCCTCACTTTCCTTTTCTGAGCCTGTTTTCTCATTTGTAAACCTCATAATGTTGGCATCTGGCACTTAGAAGACACCTATTAATTCGTAGCTCCTTCAGCTTCCAGTTGGTGGGTAAGGAGCTCCTCAAGTTGCTGGCCTTCCCCTGAATTCAGTAGTCAAATGGAAAATATGACAAAGTGCAGGCTGAAATATGCAGAGAGACACTCTTGGTGGTTGAGTCCAGGCATAAGGAGGTGGGTGCCTGAGAGTAGGAGTCATAGATTTTTAGACTATCACAGCTGAAAGGCTGAGAGGTAATGATAAAGATAGTTAAAAGCAGGAAATGTTTTTGAAAACTTACTTTGTATGGGTGTTGCGATAGGTTGTGTGAATACATTATTTCCTTTACTCCTTAGGGCAACCCTGGGGGTGGGTGGGTATTACCCCCATTTTACAGGTGAAGAAACTAAGGTGCATAACTTGCCCAAGGACATATGAGTCAGACACCTGGACTCCTGAGGCCAAAGTCCATGCTAGTAATCAAACTGCCTCTAGTTGATCTAACCTCTTACTTTTTAAGATGAGGCTGGGGAAAATTGTCTCACTCAGAGTCAAAGTCTTATCCAAAGGCAAAGGTAGTCTCACCTGAACTTTTACACAAAGGAACCAGGATTTGAACATCCCTGTAGGGCGCCATCTGGTCAAGAAGTGAACAGAGAAATTCAGATTTAGGAAACATTAAGTACTTGAATCACTGTAATTCATGCTAAAACAAGCCCCCGCGTTGTACTGTGCTGATCCGATGGGGAAAGAGACTCAGAGGGATAATGTCCCCCAAAAGTGAATTTAGCATAAACGGTTGCACTGTCCGATTACACATTCGGGTTTCAGCGGCTTGCGGGTGGGAGGGTATAAAGGAACCCTCCATTTCTCCAGACTCCAGAGTCGGCTCACAGTGGTGGATTCTGGGATTTGCAGTATCCCGCGAAGAGTTTAGACCCGTGGGCCAATAGAATCCGAGCACAGGCGGTGGCACCCCCTCGAATTAGCCAATGAGAAGCGCACGGGTCCTGGTCGCCTGGGAAACCGCGTGACAACAAGATGGCGCCGCGGGACGCCTTGGCGGCCCTGCGCGGTGAGTCCCTGCTCAAACCTTTGCGGCCCCGGAGTCCCCCACGCAGGCTGGGGTTCTCACCCCGAGAGCCCGAGGACCTGCGAGCCCCGCGGTCGGGTTGCCCAGCAGGCTCCCGAGTCCTGGGAGCGGCTTCGGGTTCCCGCCGACCGTGGCTGCGCGAGGAGGCGGGAGGAGGCGACGCGGCTCCCAGGGAGGGGTTAGGTCGTGACTGAAGTCGCGTCGTGAGCGCTTCCAGCTGGAGATTGAAGGCTTGAAGGCGTGCAGGCTGGTCGGGTCCTGTCGGCGCTGGAGAGCACTGGGGCCTGGGCTGGGGGCGCGAATAGGCTGAGTGCCTGTGACCAAGGATGTTACCAGTCAAGCTAGTCCTGATTTGGGTCCCAAAGATGTAGGGGCATGGGATAGAGCTTTGCTCTCAAAGTCTCTGTCTGAAGGGGAGACAGTCCAACCTTTAGGAACCTCCAGCCTGAGGCGGGGGTGGGGTGGGGTGGGGATGGGTGGGAGAGGGAGGTGACAGTCAGCCCCTGGAAGCCCCCAAGTGAGGGGAGTAGACGTGGCTCTATCCTCGGGCCCACGCGCGGTCTGAGGAAGGAGGAGACGTAGTCCTGCGCTCAGGAGTCCCCAGACTATGGGGAGATGCAGCCGTCACCGTCAGGGGTCTTTTATAATCCATGGGAAAATTAATCTGGAGACGTGTTGAATTGGCCTGGAGTGAGACAGGAAACAGGGAAGTCAGTTGACCTCCGTTGTGACAGCCCCAAGAAAAGGCAGTGAGAGCCCCACTAAGACGACCAAAGTAAGTATGGAAAGGAGGAGCTGTGTGAGAGACATTGCAGTTTAACCCACAAGATATGGTAATTGATGGGATTAAGAGAGAAGGAAGGAGAGGAAAATTTTGTGGTTGGATGATGTGGTCCTATTAAGAAGAGGGAAGTGGGAGGAGTGTATTTTGAGGGAAGATGTTGGGTTTAGTTTGGGGACCAGATCCCCTTTTTTTTTTCTGCGATAGCTTTGTTGAAATATAATTCCCATGCTATATATTCCACCCCTTTGAAATGTAAATTTCAATAATTCTTAGGATATTCATCAGAATTGGGCAACCATCACCACAATCAATTTAGAACATTTTCATCAGCCTAAAAAGAAACTCTGGGGCACCTGGGTGGCTCCATTGGTTAAGCGTCCAATTTCAGCTCACGTCATGATCTCACTGCTTGTGAGTTAGAGCCCCGCATGGGGCTCTGTGCTGACAGCTTAGAGCCTGGAGCCTGCTTTAGATTCTGTGTCTCCCTTTCTCTCTCTGCCCTTCCCCTGCTCATTCTCTGTCTCTGTCTCTCAAAAATAAATAAACGTTAAAAAAAATTTAAAAAAAAGAAAAACTCTGTACCCTTTAGTGATTACTCCCATTTACCACCCACCCCCACCCCCACCCTACCTGCTGCCCCCAGCCCTAGTCAAGCACTAATCTATTTTCTGTCTCTAGATTTGTTCATTCTGGACATATCAGTGGGGCTGTAACATGTGGTGGTTTGTGACTGACTTCTTTCCTTTAGCATAATGCTTTCAAGGTCCATTCATGTGGTGACATGGGTTTCATTTCTTTTTATTGCCAATAATACTCCATTGTAAGGATATAACAGATTTCTTTATCCATTCATTGGTTGATGAACATTTGGGTTGTTTCCATTTTTGGATATATGAATAATGCTGCTATGAACATGTATACACGTTCTCGTGTGGACCTAACTGTTCATTTCTCTTGGTTACACACCTAGGAGCAGAATTGCTGAGCCATAAGGTAGGACACTGTTCAGCTTTTTAGGGAACTGCCAGACCATTTTCCACAGCCATTGCATCATTTCACATTCCAGCTAAGTTTCCAATTTCCACACCTCCTCACCGATACAGGTTAATTTCTGTCTCTCTCTCTTTTTTTTTTTTTTAGCCACGAAGGCTAAAAGATCCTTTTTGAAGGGTTGTTACGGTGATGAGGATTTGGAGAAGGGAGGAATGATCAGGTCTGGCGGAAGTTCGTGCAGGACAGTGTTAGCCACGAAAGGAACATTGCCTATTAGCATGAAACAGACATTCTAAAAATTGATTGTGGTGATGGTTTCACAACTCTAAGAATGTACTACAAACCACTGAATTGTACACTTTAAAAGGGTTAAGTATGTGAATTAGAGCTCAATAAAGCTTTTTTTTTTTTTAAAGGTCAGTACTGTATGGCTCCATTTATGGCACATTCTTGAAGTAAGAAAACAGTAGCGGTTGCCAGGGTTTGGGGATGGTGGAGGGAGGGCTGTGGGTGTGACTAGGAAGGGCCCGGTGTGAGGGAGAGACAAGGATAGAATCTCTGTGGTGATGGAGTGGTTCTCTATCTTGACTCCAGTAGTGGCTACCTGCGTGAAAGAGCAGAGCGGGGTACACACGTATAGTAATGTAACAGTGTAGTAAGGTTCACTGGTGGGAGCCACTGGGTGAACGGCACCCAAATCCCCTCTGCACCCAAATTTCCCTCGTTTCCCGTGAATCTGTAATTTTAAAATAAAAAGTTAAAATATAACAAAACAGACAAAAACAATTAAAAAAGAAGAAGAAGAAGAAGAAGAAGAAGAAGAAGAGTTAGCCCAACTGAGGGAAGGGTGCACTTAGGAGTGGGGACCGCATTCCAGGAAGGGGCTCCAGGCCAGGGGAGCCGTGTGTGTAAAGGCCTGATGCGCAGGAGGCCGGACAGCCTCAAGTGGAGGAGGCAGAGATGGGGAGGTCAGGAGATGTGGGCGGGGACCTGATCATCCATGTTATGGAATTTTGAACTTCTTTTCTCTGGGTGAGTAGGAGCCACTGGGAGCTTCAAGCAGGGAGGTGGTATGGCAGCTTTGAGTTTAAGAAGATCCCTCTGGCTAGAGGCTGGCACAGGGGACCACGAAGGCCATCACACTTGGCCGCAAAAACCATGAGGAAGCCTGGACGAAACGCAGGGACTGGGGCATGCGAGGGGCAGATTTGGAAGGCTGGATGGTGGGGGTGAGGAAACTCTGGGTGTGGGACTTGAGTCCCAAACTCCAGAATCTTCTTCCGAGAAGGCTGCCTCCAGCTGGTACAGGTCCCCTTGCTGGGTGGCTTCAGGGCCACCGGTGGAAGCCGGTGCCACACATTTTCAAAGTGGCACTGCCTTGGTTTTGTCCTAAGAAGACTTGATTCACACCCTGACAGAGGCCCTTTGGTTCTAGAATTTCTAGATATTAGCCACATAATATACTTAATTTGCTGAATAGAGTAGTGGTCTTTAATTCCATCCCTGGTGTGCATTCATCTTTCCAGAAGGAAGAGGGAAGGAAGGGAAATGAGCCTGTGTGAGTGTCCTCAGTGTCTAGTAACAAAAGCCACAACAGCCACAGTTCACATTTAAAAAAATTTTTTTTAAAGATTTTATTTATCTTATTTATTTTTTTAAAGATTTTTTTTCAACTAATCTCTATACCAAACGTGGGGCTCGAACTCACAACCCCGAGATCAAGAGTTGCAGGCTCCACCAACTGAGCCGGGCAGGAACCCCCACAATTCACATTTTTAAGCATTTCCTTTTAGTGTGGCCCTGGGCTCCGTGCCTTATGTAAGTTATCCCTGAATCCCCTCGATAACCCTGCCTGGCTGATACTGTCACCAACCCCACTTTATGCCAAAGGAAACCAAGGCACTGGTTACCCTGGTAGATGGCAGAGCCTGTGCAGAGCCTGGGCCTTTGACCTCCATATCACAAAGACTGCCTTGGTTGCGTTCTGCCCTTAGGTTGCCCCTTTCTGGCTCTGAGAGTCAGAGTGATACCTGGGTTCTTGTAGGAAGGGAGGGGACACTTGCACTTTGGGTCAACCAGCTCCTTGATGGATAGACAGAAGCCCCGGGCCTTCTGGCTAGTCTTATGCCCCGGCTGTAAGTTGGGAGAGTCCCAGGCTTCTGGCCCATCTCTGTACCCCACCCCTCCCTCATCGCCCTTTCCCAGCCAGGTGGGAGGGCCTCCAGGATCAGAGCAGAGAGCAGACACCCAGCTCAGGGGTCCTGAGGCAGGGCTGCCTGCAGAAACCCCTTCAGGGGAGTGGGAAGAGGTGACGGGTGCTGCTCCCTGGACAGTGCTTCCTCCTGGGAATAGGGATCAGGGGAGAGGACGTTTCCCTGGCCCCGAAGCCCTGGGCCCCCTCTGTCCCCAAGGACTGACTTCCTTCTTTCTTCTCAGGGAGTTCCTGATAGCTAAAAGTAGAACTATGAGCTCCCCTTTGGCCTCCCTTGGCAAGACCCGAAGAGTTCCCCTGGAGTCAGAGCCTGTGAATCCAGGGTAAGGATCCAGCCTCAGGGGGTCTTTGTGTTCTTGCCCCTGCCTCCTGTTGTCTCCCCCCCCCCCCCCACCATGGACTAAGAGAATGGCTCCTAGTGTCTCCTAGTGTCTTGGGGGAAATAAGGGAGAGTTACATAGCTTTCCCTGACCACCTTCTCTTCCTCCTTTTAACTTCTTCAGAGAGGCTCGGCACCATGTCTGAGCAGGTGCCGGGCTGTGCCCTGTGGTGCGGTGTGGGTGGTGTGGGCAGTGTGGGCAGTGTGGGCGGTGTGGGCCAGTGGGGGGTGGGGGGAGTGGCCCAGAGCCCATGTTAGTTTGCAAACACTGATGGTACCACTCCTCCCGCCCAGCCATGCGCGAGGCTCTCAGTAAAGGGAGTGCTTCACATCTGTCCAGCACTATCATCCTTTCGAAGCATTTACTTCACCGCTCTCCTTTCTCTTCTGAATACTGCCTTGAGTCATTTGAAGGCCAAGGAGATGCAGAGCGATTAAGCAACAGGCCGGGGGTCCATTTCAGAACAGAGCCGGTGCTGGGCTCCGGGGCCTGGGATCTCTTGTCTTCCACCCAAGCCACTGCCCCTCAGCCCTTCCCCCGCCCTTCTCCATGGGGAGGAGGGGACCCCTAAAAGCCTGTCCCTTGGCTTTTCCCAGTGCCAGGGATGGGATTTGGTGTGGGTCAGCCTCGGGAGGCAGAGGCCCAGCCTCCTTTTCCTTCAGGCTCGGCTGGGGATCTGGTGCCCAGAGCCGCTCCCTGATGGCATTCCAGGGCTTCCTAACTCGTCTGTCTTCCTTTTCCTTCCTGCCTGGGTTCCCAGGAGGCGAGGGATAAAAATCTACGGAGATGGTAAGTGTGGGCTCTGCCCGTGTGTCCCCCTCACCTCCCACCCACTGGGTCTCCCTGGAGTTGTGCAGATGGAGAGAAGGAGCGCGGCCATTGCCACGCTGCTCCCTGCCGCGCTCCCAGCCCCCGAGGACAGGGCTTTCTGGCAGCTCTCTGATCAGGGGGCCCCACACCCTTAGCAGAGGTGTATTGCTAACCGTTGAAGTCCTCCACTCCCTGTGGGGTTGGCCGGTGGGGTTTGACCCCCGTCCTCTTCCTCCTGATGACCTCCTCCTGCCCGTTACAGCCTTTTCTCCCTGAAGCCCCACCCTCGCTTCGCTGCCCCAACTCCTGCAGGCTCAGCCCTTTGCATCCCAACCCCATTCTTGCCTCCACTGTGCTGTTGGCATTGGCCACTCGGGTCCCCTCCGGAGCCAGGCTGGGAGAACTGCAAAAGGAAGCCTGTTCTAGTTGGATCCTTGCTCCCTGACATCCCATGTGTTCTATCCGCATATACTTGGGGGTACAGAGTACAGGCTGCTGCATCCTGGCCAGAGCCCAGGGCCTCAGTTTCCTCCGGGGCTCAGCCCCAGAGCAGTGACCTGGGCATCCCTGTCTGCAGAAGATGAGGTGAACATGCTGAATGATGGACATGGCTCAGAAGAAAGGATCTCTGTCCCTTCCTGCTATGGAGGTATAGGTGCTCCTGTCAGTAGGCAAGGTGAGAACAGAGGCCTAGGCGGGTCTGGGTCCCCAGCAGCAGGAGAGGGCCTCAGAGAAGGGGCGAGGCCCAGAGAGGCAGGGACCTACTCTTGCCTGTTCTGGGTGAGCCTGTGGTTCCCAGGCTGCCCTCCTCACCTGCCCTGCACTGTCCCCAAAAGGCTGTGGTGACACTGATCCCAGAGGTGCCCAGATGGGGCTCACAGGGCAGCCTCCTGGAGGGGGGAGGGGGGAATGGGCCTGGGCACAGGGGAGGCATGGGCAGGCAGGGTCAGGGTTTGCTGTGGGCCTGGAGGAGCTGGGCATGAGGTCAGAATGTTCCACTAGCCGTGATGTCTTGGATAAGCAACATCCTGTCTCTCTGCCTCCATTTCCTCCTCTGTGGGGTGGGAGGCCGTCCTGCACCAAACACCCCTCTGTGTTATAGGACAGGGAACTGAGGTGGAAAAGAAGACCGGAAGGGCCTGGCCGCACAGCCGTTCAGGCACAAAGTCAGCTGGGGACACTTTCATCAGTAACTGCAATAACCAAGGCTCCTTGAGGAGCCATCCTACGTGTCTGCCCCCCTACCAAGGTCACAATCAAGGACTTGCCTGCCTGTCTCGCTTCTGTGCACAGCACACCAGCCACTGTGCCGTCCTCTGATCGCCCTGGGCTCTAAGCTGCCGTGGCGCTGCTCTCGCAGATGTCTTTCTGACTTCCAGGCTCTTTCCTCTCTCTGCTTTTCCTCCCAGTGTTCCAGTGCAGCGTTCCTCTGCTGGGATCTCCTCCCCTTACCCCACCCGCTCTGCCGCAGGAGCTCATCTGTGCTGTCTGTGCTGATTGGCCCCGATGTCTATATATCTGTTACAAAGCCTTGATTACAAGTCAGAGAAAATTCTTATGAACGTTGAGGAGAACTTATTGTCCTGAACACCAAGAAGTCCAGGAGGCAGCTCCAGGGTTGTTAATCTATCGGTTCAAAGATGTCCTTGAACAAGTTTCTCCATCTTCCCACTGAGCCCCGCTTGGCACGTTAGCCCACGTGCCTGGACGGTGACAATTGCACCTGCCTCACACATGGGGCAGCACGCAGGGGAAGGAGAGGGCCCGTTCCTTCCCGTGTGTCTCTCTTGTTTTCTTTCCCTAAATGTCTTATTTTGAAAACTTTCCAGCCTACAAAGAAATTAAAATAATAGTAAAGTGCACACCCGTATATATGTCTGCCATCTAGATGACACAGTTAGTGATATTTGGCCACTAGTTTGCTTTCTCTCTGTCCCTATACACATATGGACGAATGTTAAGTGTCTCTTTTTGAGGAACTGCATAGAAATCAGTTTCAGATATCGCGACATTTCACCTCTACGTCAGCGTGCATCTCCTACAAATAAGGACACACGTGACCCCAGGGCCGTGACCGCACCCAAGAATGTGGAGGACTCGGTGCTGCTATGGGAGCACTGCTTCTGCGCTCAGATCTCCCAAGTCCCTCAGTAGCTCATAGCTGTTGTTCTTCCCGATCTGAGTTCTGATCGGGACCGCGCACCACATTCGACTGTTATGTGTCTGTAGAACAGCGTCCTTGCCTTTTGAAAAAGTGACACTGACTCTCTGAGGAGCCAGGCCACACGTCCCGTGGAGAGCCCGCACGTGGGCCTGTGTGCTTGTTTGTCCTCGGTGCAGACTCGCTCCTCTCTCTGCCGTGTTCCCGTAAACCAGGCGCGAGGTGTAGGGCCTTCATTCGACTGAGGGTGACTTTCCGATAATGCCTCATGGGTGATGGCACCTATCTGATACGCCACTCACTCACACTCCTTGGACACATCACTGCTTCCCTGCCTCAGTTTCCTAAAGCAGTTCATTTACTCAGGGGCATATTGTGAGGACAGCACAAGCTGACACATGCAAAGTACTTAGTACAGTCCCCATTATCTAAGTGGCAGCTATTAGTATTACCCTTATTTCTGCTTCTGCGGATCCCTGTCCCCCTCCACTGGACCCCCGCACTTCAGCCCCAGCTCTAGGCATGGGCTTTAGGACTTTGTCTGTTTGGCAGTCTCTGCTGTCCATGACTCGGAGCTGGTGGCCACCCTGTCGAGAAAGCTGAGGGACCTGGAGCAGCAAGTGAAAACTCAGACTGAAGAGCTGGTGTCCAAGGTGGGACCCCCAGCAGGGGGCAGGGACATAGTCTGGTCTGAGGGGTGGAGGGGCCCAGGCTGGGCAGGCCAGTGAGTTTCCTACCACAGTAGGCCACGGTGGGTGGCTTCTAGAACCATCTCTTCCACTGAACTTTCCAGTTCAAGGGCCAGGTGTGGCCTGGGGCTGATCTGGGCCCTGGGAGCTGAGCGGAGAGGCTAAGGGTCATCTCTACAGCTGAGTGAGGCTGCTAGCCTTGGACTAGGTGGCAACAGCGACTGCTGAGCGCGGGGCCCCTTGGGCGTGCTCTACTCTGTTTCCCATTTCAGGGGAAGCACAAGGATATCAGAGGTCTAGGAGCTGTGGCTGTGCCAAAGGGTGGTAGGGGCAGGGTCTTTAAACTCCCAATTGCCCCACGGAGGCAAAAAGTTTGGCTCATCCCACCTCTTGTGCCCTGGGAACCCCCAGGCCTGTCTGCTCCCCCTTTGTCTTGTTGCTGCAGGACCGGAAGATACGGGCCCTGGAGGAAGTGTTGAAGACCCTCCAGGAGCGCCAGGGTAAGGGGCATTCTGGGCAGGTCAGCCTTCCTGGGGCACCTGCCCTGGGTTGATGGCTCCAGGGCATCAAGCCTCCAAGAGCATCCAGCTGAGTCCTGTAGTGAGGTCTAGACAGCTGATCCCAGAGCGAGGCAGTGACACGCTAGGGGAAGTGCCCTCCTTCGCCGGACCGGGTCCCCAAGTGCAGACGTAGCCCAGCCCCGAGCATAGGGCGTAGGGCACACCATCAGAAGTGTAGGGGAACAGTGCCCTCAGGAGTCCCGGGGGGTGAGGGGGGTGGCTGGCGCGCTCCTGAGAGTCAGTCCAGGCGTCCCCGCCTCTAAGGTCAGGGGGAGAGGCCAAGAGGGAGTTTTCAGGGGATCCCTCGAGTTTTCATGGGGCAGCTTCTTCAGAGGACCCTCAGGGCAGAACTCTGGGCGAGGCCGAGCGTGGTCTGGCAGCCTCTTTGCTGGGGCAGCACAACCCTTCCTGATCTTTCCCTGAAGGCAAGGCGTCCCTGCAGCGGCAGCAGCAGCTGGAGACCATGTGCTTGCAGCTGCAGCGGCAGGTCGGGGAGATGGAGGTGAGAGAAGCGCCGGACCCTTGGGACCTAGCGGGGAGCCCGCTTGTCTGGGTCTCCCTGCCATGTACCCCACGTGGGGCCCGGCCCCGTGTTCCCCTGCTCAGGACTAACCCAGGGTTTAAAGAGCCAGGGAGGTGTCTGGTACCCCAGCCGCACCAGCCCCTGCCTACCTCCTTCAGTCTCCCCTTGAGCCTTTCGCCTCCAGCCACGGGGCCTACCTCTGGTCCTTTGACCACACTGAGCTCTCCCCCCCTCAGGCCCTTGGCCAATGCCATTCCCTCTCTCTGAAAGGTTTTTTCCCCACCTTCCCCTGGTGGGTCTTCACCCATCCTCAGTCTCAAATTGGGCTGGGGGCTCTTCCCAGGTGGCCTCCCCCACTCTGACCAGGGCAGGTTTTCTGTTCCCTGCCTGTTTAGTGTCTCACTCTTCCCCTTTGGGACCCAACTCCACAGCAGAGGCAGGGACTGGTTCCCTCCTGTTCACTGCTGCATGGCCAGGACCTAACTTACCGCCCGGCCACGTGTGTGGTCACAGCCATCCCCTGCCACTGAACATGGCATCTCACTCACTGGACTCCCCCTTTTGCCCCCACTTACCTACCCATTCATATAGCAAGGCTTGAACTCTAGGGACCCTAGGCTCAAGGGAGGGTCCTGGACACATGTGCTTCCTCAGTGCCCCCCATCCTGACTGACCCCCCTCCCCGGAAGCTCTCCCTTGGGGCTGACTCTCCACACACAGCTGGTTTCCAAAGCCCAACCCTAACTCAAGACCACAGAAGCACCCAGATGCCACCGAGGGCCCTTCCCCCCTGGGCCTCTTATACCTGGGGCTGCCCAAGCCATCTGGCGAGAGTCCTGGCACCAGGGGGTGAGGGCTGTGCCCACAGCTTCAGGGCCGAGGGTGTTGCGGCTCCCACGCTCCCGGCACTGACACCTTGACTGCTTCATTCATCTAACTCACACAAAGTATCTGCTGTGTGCCGGGAACCCCACCAGGCACTGGGATGTAGACATGGTCCCTGTCTTCAGGGGGCTGACAGTCTGGAGGGGACAGAGATATAAACAAGGACACAGATACACCAGTACAGAGAAGATAACAAGATATTTAGATGGGTGACACAATAGAGATGAGCTGGAGTTTGGGCCACTCTGCGGGGTGACATTGGGCAGATCTAGAGGATGAGGAGGGGACCAAGGGATGAGGATCCAGTCTAAGAGGTGACAGTCTCCTCCTGCCATGCAGACTTTCTTGGGAGGGGGCGTGGAGAGCCCTGAGAGAAGGAGAGTCTGGAAGGACCATCCAGGGGGCTCGTTCATCTGTCGTGTAGGGCTGGATTCTGTCCTCAAAGATGGGAGGAGACCAGAGGAAGGTTTTCAGAGGTGTGGATGGGGAGGCAGGTGGACAGCTCAGGGCTGGAGCGTGGAGCTGGAGCAGAGGGGAGGGATTCGAGCCTGCTTTGCAGGTGGTGCTCACGGCCTCACGGGGTCACGGCCGAGGCCCGGGTGGAGGGGCTGCCGCTGACCGAGACCAGAGGCCTGGAGACACGGAGCTTTGGAGGGGGGGGGACACGGAGTGGTGACCGTTGGGGATGGGTTCATGTTGAGTGAGGCAAGATGTTGAAGTGGAGACGGCTGGGAATGTGAAACGGAGAAGAAGCGGTGTGTCGCAAGAGACGAAGAAGGAAGAGGGCCTCTGGGTTTGGCGCCGGGCAGGCTGTTGGTGGCCACAACCGAGCAGTTCCAGTCAGTTGTAGAGAAAGGGGGCCGGGTAGAGTGGGTTCAGGAGAGAAGGAGCTGAGGAACCAGTGACAGGAAGTGTAGACAAGTCAGAAGTTTTCCTGTGGCAGGGGGGACGTGAGGCCCAGCCCCAGAGAGGCTGCATGTGGCTCACCGCGTCTTCAGTCCTGTGCAGCCGTGTCCCTGCCCCTCCTCCACTCAGGCCAGACACATGGGGTGCCCCACCGGCATCAGGGCCACCTTCCGTGAGGCCCTCCACTGTGCCTGAATTATCATTCTGAGTCCTTCTCACAAGCTTATGGGGCAGGTATTGTCATCTCTCCGTTTACAAGCAAGAGCCCGAGACTCTAGGAGGTGAAGTGGCTTCCCAAGGTCACAGCCAGAAAGCAGCCGAGACCCAGGCGCCCATCCTTTCTGCCCCTTTGGCTCCGGTTGCCGAGGCCTGAGACTGGGGGCTGGGCGGATGCTGCCTGTTCCCTGAGGGCCCGAGCTGACCACCACCCTGCCACTTTCCCCTTCTCTGCCCCCCAGCGGTTCCTCAGTGACTACGGGCTGCTGTGGGTGGGCGAGCCAGCTAACGAAGACAACGAGGACTCAGAAGACAAGTCAGACTCAGAGGATGACAACAGGGACTGGATGACAGCCAAGAAGTTCTGGAAACCAGGTAGAGTAGGGGGTCTGTCCCCGGCCCCTCCTACAAAGGGCGTTCTCCAGCACCTTCCTGGGGCCAGTAGCTGTCCAGAGGCCATGTCACTCCTGCTCCTGACACCGGAGACGGGAGGAAAGGCCTCAGCCTCCTCACTGACCACCTAACCCGCCACTACTTTCTGCCTCTGGTCTTGCCTCCGACTCTCTGCTGGCTCATCTTCCAAAGGCTCCAGAGACCCCGAGATACGAGATGTAACAAGCCCTCATTTGTCTCGGGCTCCACGCCATAGTTTACAAAATGTCGTCTGTCCAAAAGATTTTCAAAAACAATTTTTCTGCTTTGGAAGCTGCCCCTCAGATCCAGGCCTCCATCCCTCCTTGGGCTCCTTTATTAGCTTCACTTATAGCTGGACCGTTGAAAGGGACCTGTTTCTATGAGGTTCCACCCTTCTTTATCTTTAACTTGACTGCTAATATCTAGATGGCTGCACCCCATAGATTTGGGGCCAGAGAAAGCCGGGTCCATTCTCTTCAAAGAAGGGAGGTGATAACCCAGAAGGTACTCCTCCAGTCTCCGGAGTCGGTCGGACCGGGGCCCTCCTCTTCATGCCATCACCTGTTCCAGGTGTGACTTGGGCATGTGACTTCTGTCCTCTGAGCCTCCGGTCCCCCGTCAATAAGTGGGGAGATACCCTTCCCCGCAGAGTTGGAAGGAGTCAGTGGGTTAGACGCAGAGCACCTAGCACTGACCTCGCACGTCATCAGCCCACCACATAGGGCCTTTTATTATCATCCCTCATGGGAGCACTGATGAGCATGGCTCCCGAGGGGAGATATTTGGAAGAGGACAGCACTGTCTTGATTTCAAGACAGACTTGCTGCTGAGTGACAACTGAGACTCACAACATGAGAGTCCTGCCTCCTGTTCAGTCCTGAGCTCTGGCCAAACCCTCTAAATCTTAGGGCACAACTCCCTCCCTGCTTGGAGGGAGCATTTTCATACATAGCCTTGACATGGGCCACGGCTTGTTCCATTTTATAGATGGGAACACTAGGGCAGTTCAGTCTCGAGACTGTTGAGTGAAGGGGCCAAGACTGAAGGCTGAGAGCCCCTTTAGGAGGGGGGTACAGTTGTCCAGGCAGACGAGGAGATGTGTCCCGTGGAAGGGTGCTCCTGGCAGGCACGGCGCAGAGAGGCAGGACGGAGATCTGTGCCCTTGGTGATTGTGCGTTAGGGAGCTGACAGGAGGAATCGGGGATGGCCCTGGGACACCCCCTCTGGGGTGAGAGGCGGAGCCCCGGAAGGTGACTGCCAGACGCTCTAAGAACGGTTCTGGGGTCTAGGGCCAGAGGCCTGCCAGCGCTGCGCCCTGGGCCCCCCACATGCCCTTGCCGGCTGGAGGGCAGGCTTCCACCTGGCGGGGGAGCCTTCCTGCTGTTTTGGGGGTCAGGCCAGATAGCGAGTTTCCAGCCTCAGCCCTGTGGACTCCTACCCTTCCTCTGCCAGAAACAGCACAGACTTCACTCTGCCCTGTGCTGTTTATGCCCAGAAGAGGCTGGCTCTGAAGCCGAGGGCCTCACAGCTAAAGCAACTTGTGAAAACCCTCTGCCAGCACCTCCTCTGTGTGTCTTCTCCCGTTTTTTTAGGTTTTAAAAATATTTATTTATTTTGAGAGAGAGAGAGAGAGAGCAGGAAAAGGGCAGAGAGAGGGAGGGAGAGACAGAGAATCCCGAGAGGCTCCACACTGTCGGCATAGAGCCCTACATGGGGCTCAATACCATGACTATGAGTTCATGATAGCTGAAACTCGACCGACTGAGCCACCCAAGCGCCCCTTCCTTTGACTTTCTGATTCTTCAACATGGAAGGGCCTCAGTTTAGGTCTTCTGTGAGATGAACTACAGGCTTCTCATTTCCAGCGGCTTTGCTTCCTGGTCCCCTCCATCTCCTCCCCCTGCTTTGTCCCCAGGTGCCAGGCTGCTTCTGCACCCAAGGGCCCTCGAGTACACAAAACCGGGCCCTTGCTGGCCCCTATACCCTGGCTCATTTCTCTGGCTCTCCTTCTGTTGGACACCACTCCCCAAGGCCCCAGGCAGCAGACCAGTTGGGGACAGCCCAGGGCATCTGTACTGGGTCAGCCCATCTAGAGCCAGGACTCTTGCCTTGGGGAGGAAGGCCCACTGGCCCTTGAAGGGGACCCAGCACAGGGGAAAGCCTTGCAAGGACTTGGCCTCAGACTGGATCATTCACCCCTCTCCCCCTCCCCACCAGTAAATTGGGCATTAAATAGGATGCCAGGTGCTTCAGGGTATGCAGAGACATGAAAGGGACAGTCCTACTCTGGTCACAACCCATTGCCAGGGGTTGAGCCTCAGGGCTGAGAGCTCCTCACTCCCCCTTCATTGTCCCCTCATTGTCCCCTGTGAGCTCCTTCCCCTCATTCCTGTCCCTTCTAAGCTGCTCCCCCTCATCCCTGTCTCCTGTGAACTCCTCCCCCTCATCCCTATCCCCTCTGAGCTCCTCCTCCCCTTCCCTGTCCCCTGTGAAGCTCCTCACTCCCCCACCCCTCACCAAGTTCCTGCCCTCTACCTCTTCCCTCCCCCTGCAGCCTCTGCCTGCCCCTAGCACCCTTCCTCCCAAGCCCTAGCCTCCTGCATATGGCTGGAGCCTCTTCCCTCCCCTGCTCAGAAAGCCATGCTGTCTTCAGGTCTTCACTCATCCCTGGGGCTCCCTTGAGTCCCTGGAACTGGCCTGGATTAGACCCTAGGCAGGCCAGGCTTCTCCCCACCCTCAGGACCCTCTCAGGCCTCTGCTGTGTCCCCCGAAGTGCCTTGTCCCTTTTACCCCCTCTTTCCCCAGCCTCATGGAGCACCTGCTGGAGTACCTGCGGCCAAGCACTGTGCACCTGCACCGCGCCCAGCACGTGGGAAGGGGCTCCGCACTGGGGTGACAGGGTTAAATGCCCCAGCTGAGGAGTGGGGGGCCTGTGTGGGCAAACTGCTTCACCTCTCAGAGTCCGTGTCCTCATCTGTCTGTGGAAGGAGATGGTGTGGTGACGCCCGGGCCACTGGGAGCACTGGATACCATAGGGCATGTGGGGCGTTCTGGGGGGCCTGCCACATGGCGGCTGACCTGTGACCACGAGCCACGGCTGCTTGGCCCCCGTCAGCCCCCAGAGTGCCCAGCACAGAGCTTGGCCTGTGGGCAAGGGCGTGGACACATACACACGATGGGTGGGGGTGCCTGGGTGCCCCGGCCTGGACAGTCAGGCACGCCGGGACAGCGCTCTGCACGGGATGAGGTGGGGACAGGTGGTATGATGCTCAACCATGCTGACCAGAGAATTGGTTGTGCCCCTCCCCCAGCAGTGATCAGACTCTGAGGCCCTGTTTTCCTTCTACTGCTTCCTCTGAGGAGCAGAGTGAGTGTCAGTCCCCAGAGCAGGGCCAGGCTCGCAGGTGTGTGGAAATAGCGGGTCTGTTTCCTGTTCAGCCTTTGGGGGAGGTGGTGGGGACAGGCACGCAGGGGCCCTGGGGCACCGCCTTGGTATTTGCAGTAGCAGGTGCGTCCTTCCTGCAGCGGTGAGGAGCCAGCCCAGAACGGGCCCGCCCCTCACCTGCTGAGAGTGGCAGGGTCTGGCCCCCCTCTGGGCTCTGCAGCCTCCACGGTAGCACTTACCACGTGCCATGGTCACTGTGGTCACCCTGTCACCTTCACTCAAGTATGATCTTGAGGAGGGAAGGACTCGGGCTACGGGGAGAGCCATGATTCTCAGGGCCTAGCGGAGCCTGGATACTTCAGGCATATTGGTGGGAGAGAGAGATGGGTCCAGTATGTGCTTCCCGCCTGCGTTCAAAGAGTGCCCATAGTGGTTGGAAAGAACAGCAAACAGAAAAAGTCAACAGCCTGTGATGAGGCGCACGGGCTCCAGGGACTCAGGAGGCTTAGTCTCCAGGGGAGGGACCCCTGGCAGGGCTGCTCAGAGGGCACAGTGGGTGAGCATCCTGAACCAGTGATGAGCAAGAAGGTGTGGCATTGGTGACAACAGCCACCATCTGCCCGGCACTTCCTCTGAGCCTCACAGCCACCTGTGATGTAAGGGCTTTTATTATCCTCAGTTTATAGAAGAGGAAGCCGAGACCCTCCCTTGCCCAGCATCACACAGCTTGGTGGCAAGAGTCTGGGCTCTGTGGCTCCAGAGAGTGATGGGGGAGCACACTGGGGGGGGGGGGGGGGCTGGGGCGCCTGGGCCTTGAGGGTCTCGGGAGTTGAGCCAAGGAGCTTGGTCTTATGCCTCCCTAACTCCTCTTCTTAATAAAATCATGGGCTCTCGAAGTTGTCTGAGGCCTCAGAGACGATCTGTCCCTGAACCATGCCCCTCCTGACACGGGGACCCCAGTGAGCAGGGGCAGCCTGTGCGGTCACTGGGAACAACAGGCTTAGAGTCACCCGGGGCCCTGAAAGCTGCAGGAGCGGGAACATGTCACCTTACAAGGTCCAGTTTCCCTCACTATAAAACGGGAGAGGTAACAGCTGCCTGTAGGTGCTGGGCACAAAGTATGCACTCACCGAGTCGTCCTTACAGTCAGTTCCTCCTGCTGGATCTTGCAGGCGGGATAGAGGTTCCTATTCTGTCCCGTCCCAAGGAAGGGAGAGCCGCAGCTCAGACAGGAAATGCCTCCTTAGACCTCTGACCTGCCTCGCCCCATGTGACCTGGCAACGGGCCAGGCTTCGGGTGTGCACTCCTGGCTGGCTGCGTGGTGGCTGTGCCAGGATTCCTGCCTTATTCTCTCAGCCCAGGTCTGCCTGGTGCTGTGGTTCCATCTCCTGGGGCCCTTGTCTCCCCCCACCCGCCCCCCCACCATGGGCTGCTGCACTCCACACGTGCTCAGCCCACCCGGTTTACAGTTCTCCATGCCTTAGCCCTGCCCCCACCCCCAGCCGAGAGCCCCCTGGTGCTAATTTGCTCAGCAAACTCTTTCCCCTCTAGTTGCTTCTTGGCTTCCTCCCCTGGGTTTCCACCCGTCCTTTCCACTGCCGCCCACCCCGTGCCCGTCAGCTCCCTGAAAAAGCCTTGGCTCCAGGATGCAGCTGGATTGGCAGGTAGCATATCCGAGTGGTCCTGGCTCCACTTGATGTGGTCTGCGTGCACTGGGTCATCTGATCTTTCTAGGCTTCACGGTCTCCATCGGTTAGAGTATAGGGGTGGGGGCAGGAGTTCGAGGAGGCGAGCTTTTCCGTTATTTTTAGGTTTACCAATGTGTTCTGAAATGTAGTCTGTTGTTAAAGGAAAATAGCGGCTTGATGTTGCTCTGACTCATACTGGGGATGCCCAGGATGTTCTGGGAGGTTTTCTTGGGAGTCTCAGGAGCCCTCGGGGACCACAGGAGGAGGTGGGGGAGCCGGTGCAGCTCCCGCAACCTAGGAGATGCAGGGGAGGGGGAAGTCCAGCCCGGGCCTACCATTTTGGCAGCCACAAAGGCAACAGGAAACAGAGCCACCCACATCTGTACTTCCTCCGCACAGCCACCGCACCTATAGAGCCATTGCACCACTGTGAGGGAAGGAATTGGGTCCCCAAAGTCCCGACCCACATCCTGCCACAGCTGGGCTGTCCTGGTGAAAACAGCGTCCAGGAAGGCCCTAAAAGTCTGAGGTTTTGTAGGGTCACACCCTAGTAGGTGACTTACTTGGGAGCTAGATGGCTTCGGGGACTAAGAACAGGCCCAAGGCCTGTCCCCCGCCATCAGCATCCCACCTGCCCTCCAGCCTTTCCACCCTGGCGTCTGTTGTGGCTGTCCCCAGCGTCCCCTGAAACGTTTGCACACCGGGGTGTGCCACACAGTCTTCAGAAGAGGAAGCCAGAGCGTCTTTCAGCTTCTCAAAGGGGTCTGTGTGACCCAGACCCAAGATCTGCTCCCTCTCTGTTCTGTCCAGCTGCTGCCCTGACATCCTCGCTAGTCGTCATGTGTCCCTGCCCCCAAGCTCCCCATCTAGAGGGTGTGGACGGGTGGGAAAAGCAGACTCGAGTCAGCTCTTCCTCTAATTTGCCAAGTGACCCAGGGCAAGTCATTTTTTGTTTCTGTGGGCTTGTTTCCCCATGTGCAAAATGGAGATAAATGATCTCCTGTGTCATGGCCACTGGACCGGCCTGAGGTCCATTTGTGCCTGACAGAGTTGGTAACAATGAGCAGCTGGACAGAGTGCTTGCTCTGAGCAGGCCCTCACTTGGTCATCTTCCTAGACCCTGGTAGCCATCCCGGGAGGCAGACCCTATCATCCCACCCTTCCCGGAGAGAATGCCGTCATGCAGAGCACTGAAGGACTTGACCAAGGGCACACGCGTGGAAGCCGAAGAGCTGGGATCTGAACCCGGGCAGACTTCATCCAGAGCTGGGAGCTCTGCACTGTGCTTTTCAGGCGCTGACCTAGCGCCTGACCGGGCAGAGCTGGGATCAAGTCCTGCTCCTGCCACTTACTCTGCGGATCCCTAGGCAGCCATTAACCCCTAACCTACAGGGTTCCTCCTCTTGGAGAATGGGGGTGACTATAGCCCCTACAGCACAGGGGTGGTGTGAAGAGAGAGTGGCATAATAGGCATTAGGCCTCTAGCATAAGGTGAGTGGTCAATAAAAGATAGCTATTATCTAGTGGCAGTTGTACTTCTGCCTCCCCAGGTGGCCGCCTAAGGAGATGCGGAAGCCACTGCTCAGCATGCAAGGGGCCACCAGAACCAGGGCTGCTGGGGCACACCGACTGCCATGAAGAGAGGCTCATGGGTGTTTATCCTCTTTACCAGGGGACTCACTGGCGCCCCCCGAGGTGGACTTTGACAGGCTCCTGGCCAGCCTGAAGGATCTCAGTGAGCTGGTGGTAGACAGTGACACCCAGGTGACACCAATGCCCCATGGAGCACGGCTCCATGTCCTTGAGCCCATCCCACTGAAGCTCTATCGGAATGGCCTCATGATGTTCGATGGGCCCTTCCGGCCCTTCCATGACCCCTCCACACAGGTAGGAGTGGTGGGGAGGGGAGACAGGCCATCTGGTGCCCTTGCCCCCTGCCCTTCCTTGCTCACCATTAGTTGGCGACCGGAGGCCCAGCCCAGCCTGCCCTCCACCCAAGCCCGTGCACAACTTGCAGAAACAACCCCTCCCCCACCCCAAGTCCTGGGGCCCTGGATGTGTGCCCAGTGTGACTCATTGGATGGGCCCAGGGCCCAAGGCCTGCCGTCCAGACGGGAAGATGAGCAGGAGGTGCCGCACAGGTCCAGCCCAGCCTCACTCTTCCAATCCCTGCCGCAGCGCTGCCTTCGAGACATTCTGGATGGCTTCTTCCCCTCAGAGCTCCAGCGGCTGTACCCTGATGGGGTCCCCTTCAAGGTGATGGGCTGCTCCTCAAACCACCCTGTGTGGGGATTTTGGAAGGGGCGGGATACACAGCTTCTTCGGGCATCACCCAGTCTGAGGTGGGGGCCACTGCCCCACCTATGGGGACCCCCGTCTCTGATGACCTTCGGGAAGAGGGTGAGTCTGAAGCCCGGCTGAGAAGGGGCTACAGTTGCCCAATGAGCAAGGGTGCCAGACTGTGGCTGAGAGGCAGGCAGTGCCCCCTGCTGGCACCCTGGAGGCACAGCCTTCAGCCTTGCAGGGCCGCTGCCCCTCCCCAGCATCCAGGACACCCTGACAGCCTAGGGTCCCTGAGATGCTACGCAAAAGTGGCCTGGCTTGCTCCAGAGGCTCCCGAAGCCATCTGATTGGTGTGGAAGGCAGTGCTGTGGGGGCAAATGTGGGCCTGAAGGACATGGCATGAGCTATCCCCCTGCTGGCGGTGGGGGGGGGGGTGAGGTGAGAGGGGTGCGGTGGTGGGAGCTCATGAGCAGCAGCTGGAGGGTGGTGTGTCACTCCACAGCAAGGGCACACGAGGGAGTGTGTGCCGCCGCCACCCGGGCTTGGAAAACCGTGTGAGTCATGCCTGGAGGTGTTTGAGGCAGTGCATGTCAAGGCGGGCTTTGCCCTCTCCTAACACCTTGGTCCCTCGCTTCCCGGCTGGGTCCTGAGAGGGGCTTTCTGGGGAGGATGTCTGTACAGTGGCTCCGGCTGGCATGGTGAGGGGTGCTTGCAGGAGGAGCCGGGCCCAGGTGGGTGAGAGCAACAAGAACTCCCGGGGCCTCAGTTTCTTCATCTGTAAAATGGGGATTGCACCAGACCAGCCCTTGAACCTGTTCCTGGGGTGGGGGTGGGTGCTCTGTTTGGGGGAGCGGTGGAGCCCAAGGCTGAAGGTCTAGGCCCACCGCTTTCGCCCTTCCTAATCGCCAGGTCAGTGATCTGCGCAATCAGGTCTACCCAGAGAGTGGGCTGGACCTGTTCCCAGGTGAGGGCCGCGTGGTGGGCTGGCAGAGGATTCACAGGCCCATGGACAGGACAGAGTACCCAGGTGAGCTTGGCCCTGAGGCTGAGCGGGGGGGCGGGGGGCGCGGTGTGGGACAGGCTCCAGGTGGCCTCATCCACCATCACGTCACTCCCAGTCCCTCCCCCCGCCAAGGCTCCCAATGCACTCCCTGCAGGCTCCAGGATGACTGTTGAGAAGTTTCTGAACAGGCTCCCCAAATTTGTGATCCGGCAAGGTGAGGTGATTGACATCCGGGGACCCATCCGGGACACCCTGCAGGTGAGGCCCCCCCCAGCTCCCCCAGCCTTGGGCTCCCTGGCCCAACCTACCAGAGGGAGATTGGAGATTCTCTGGAGACTCAGCTCGAGGGCCACTGAATGGGGCCTGGAGGGAGAAGTGAGGCCCTCGGGGCAGTTCCACTGTGTCCTGAAAACAGCCTGGGGAGGGCTGCATCCACAGAGGGGCTGGGGGCTGGTGGTGTGGCTATTAGAAGGGGAAAGCCAGGGTCTAGGCCAGGGGTAAGCCCAAGGCCCAGCCACCCCCTCGAGGTCCAGACCAGATGATCCAGTTCAGTCCTGGGTACCCCCTCCTGGCCCTCAGGAACATCCTCCTCCTTCCTCACTCCCCATCCTGCAGCAATTCCTTCTCCACCCATGAAAGGTACCAAACCTCAGTTTCCCACCATGTGGCCTCCTTCACCCCACATTGCCAAGTCCTGCCTGGTGTGCCCACACCCCGCACTTCTCCAGACCCCAAGTCTCCTCTCTGTTCCCTCTGCCCAGCATCCTGGTCGAGGCTCCGGAGTGGCTCTCAGATACCCCCCCTCCTGCCTTGCCAACTGTCCTTCCCCAGCAGTCTCTGTGCTCCTGTAAAAACATAAGTTGGATCTGGGGCCTTCCCTGTGGAAACCCTGCAGTGGTTCTCGGGTAAGGCCGAGCTCTTACCTGGCACTCAAGGCCCACCATCGCTTGTTGAGCCTCTTCCCGCCTCTAACCTTTTCCTTTTTCCAGTGCAACCTGATTCTCAGCTTTAGCTACATGAACTGCTGACACTTTCCCAAATGTATCACCTCCCAGAGAAGCCTTCTCTCACCAGGGGCTCTCTGCTCATTGTTGTCTGGAATATCCCTGCACCCTTTCCATTTCTATGGACCCCTCATCCTTAGTCACTGCTCTGGGGTCATTTCCCCTGGGAAGCCTTCCCTGACCGGTGCTGGCTTAGGCCTCCAGCCTGGTCATTGTGTGGGGTTCTGTCTCCCGCATTACCTTGAGGGTCTTCAAGGCTTCTTAGGGGAATGATGGGGCCGCATCCCAAAGCTTCCCTTCCATTTCTTCTCCTTGACCCCAGTTTACACAGAACACCCCTCCCCCTTGGGCTCTGTGGTCTCATCCATCCCTGATCAGGAAGTCCCTTCTAAGGGTTGGGGGAAGGGTGTGACTCTAGCAGAGCCCAGGGCTCTGTCCCCTTTCATTGATGCCTTCCAGAGCTGCTGCCCATTGCCTGCCCGGGTCCAGGAGATCGTGGTGGAGACACCAGCCCTGGCTGCTGAGCGTGAGAGGTGAGGGCACAGTGAAGACGTAAGGGACCTTGGGGTTGGGCCACTAGGGGGCACTGATGGCCTCTAGGCCCACAGGAGCCAGGAGTCCCCGGAGTCACTGCCGCCCCTGCTCTCCATGCTGCGCATCAAGTCTGAGAACGGCGAGCAGGCTTTCCTGCTGATGATGCGGCCTGAGGACACTATTGGTGATGTGCGCACCCTGCTTGCACAGGCCAGGTAGGCACGGGGCGGGGCCAGCAGCCACATGGGGTCTCTGGGCCCTGGGCCATGGCCTGATCTGATCGGTTCTGCCCGGTCCCCAGGGCCGTGGATGCCACGACCTTCGAGATCATCAGTACATTCCCACCCACGGTCTACCACGACGACACGGTCACACTGCAGGCCGCGGGCCTGGTGCCCAATGCAGCGCTGCTGCTTCGGGCGCGCCGGAGGCCACCGCCTGCCCCAGGCCCTAGTCACTGATCAGAATAAAGCGCCCGCTCCCACACTGGCTCGGCGCTCTCGCGCTCTCTTGGCTGGCTGGCGGGGCAGCCCAGCTGGGCGCCAGGGAAGGCTGGGGCCCAGCGGGGCCAGGGAGGGGGCGGTGCAGACCCGCCCCTCCGTAACTCGAGCTCCAGCTGGCTGCCCGGCTGCTGGGTCTTTGTCCTCTGGGCTCCTTTCTCTCCAGAAGGGCTAAGCTGATCCAGTGGAGGGAAGGCAGGCTCCAGCTCAGCCTTGGCTGGTGCAGAAGGGCCTCCTGTGCAAGTGTGCTGTCAGCAGATCCCCGTGCAGGAACCATAAGCACATGTGGACACTTCCTCAACACTCTGCACAAAGCCACTGGCAGGACTGCGACCGTGAACCCACTTCCATGACACACCCATACTTAGTGTGCTGGAACACAGGCAGGCAGCCACATGGCACGGTCACGTTACTGCCAGGCGTACAGATGCACTATACTCACCGGGCCGGGCATGTCAGGACACCATTACATGCAAGTGAATCAGGAAGTGACCCACCCACAATGTCTGAAGAAGCGCTGGTCCACACAGTTATGCATGTGCCAGACATACACCCGCATACGTGCACAATCATACACAGAGGTGCCACGAGGAGACAGCTCAACCGACGTGCCCGTAGGAGCACAGCCTCAGCACGATCCCGTCCACTAGCCTTGCTCAGAGCAAGGGCCCAGGCCATATCACACGGACACGGTGTCAATGGAATGGGACATTTAATTGTCTCTAGGGGACAAGGAATGCGGGGCCTTTGGCAGAGCCCTGGCTAATGGAACCCACAAAGGTGCCCACCAGCCAGTGCCAGGCAGGGTGGCAGCCTCAGGGCCTGGCTGACAACAGCCAGCACTTGGGCTGTTGCTTAAGACAATTTCTGAGACTAGTGGGTAAGGAATGTTGCCTTTGAATGGAAGAGAGGGGGCTAAATTAGGGCGGGAGAAGGGCTTGGGTTGCGGGGAGAGATTCCAAGGTCAGGAGGCTAGGAATAACAGGGAGTTGGTCACAAGGTCCTTCATGGCCGGCGGTGGCTAGGGGGGAACGTGGTGCTGGAGTCCGGTGGGCTCAGGCCAGTTTCAGGAACTCCTGCAGTGTGTTTTGTTCCACAGCCTCCACGAAAAGCTCATAGTCCTAGGGGAAGGGAGGGGAGGGGAGGGGAGAGACGGTCACCTGAATGCTGGTGTTTTGTCTCAGGTCTGACTCAGACTTCTGAGTTGCGAGAAGTCCTACACTTCCCCACTCCCAATCCCCCAGGGCTCATACCCCACAGTACTGGTCCCCGTTGACAATCTGGGGTGGCGTGGCCTTGGGGTTGCCCGCCAAGGCTCGCATTTCGTCCCGCAGGGCGTTGTCCTGGGAGATGTCCACTAGCTGGTACTGGATGCGCTTCCCATCCAGGATGCGGGTCACCTCGCTCTGCTGGGACTTGATCTGGGGGTAGAGGGCGGGCAGGGGTTAGCGAGCAGGCGGGAGGATTTATGGGGGACACCTGGACAGAAAGAAAGGGGCTGTGGCCAGTAGTTTTTGTCCCCCTCCACACCGTGGGGATGGGTTCTGGCCACTAGGGAGTTAGGAGGATGAGCCAGGCTTGCAGAGGTGCAGGATGAGAGCGGGACCACCACGCGGAGGGGAGTCAGAACGAAGGGAAGTGAGATAAAGTTCAGAGTAGGGAGAACCAGGAACTCAGCGAGGGGAAGGCAGGGTAGGCCTGGGTGGAGGTTGGTTAAGGGGCCACCGCTGCCTAGGTACACACAAACTGGGGGAAAGGAAGAGCACGATCGGAACGTGATCGGGGTCGCAGTGGGGTTGCAGAGAGTGGGTGTTTGAGAGACGGGATGGGCGTGGGCAGCTCGTGCTGGGGCTGCTAAGGATCCAGGATGCCCAACGGACGGGTTCGAGGAACTGGCTAGGAGCCCGCCTCGGGATCCGACGGGGAGGGGGGGAGGGGGGCGAGTCCCGCACCTCCTCATCCCCACCCCACCCCGCTCCGCCCTGGGGGCGGGTCTCGGGCGCCGGGCCGTAGCGCCCGGACCCCGCCGCCCGGGCTCTCCCCCAGCGCGGCCCCGGGGCGTGCACTCACTTCGCGGGAGCCGGTGACCGACGTGCTGTAGACGCGCAGGCCGCTCATGCTGCGGGTGGACAGGCGAGCCGACAAGCGGACAGAGGGCTGGCTGTAGCGGCAGCCGCACGGCCTGGAGACGACGCCTCCGCCGCGATCGGGAGCGGTTTCCTTCCTGCTCAGCCCGCGAGTCACCGCTCTCAGGACCAATGGGCGGCGCGGGCAGGCGTGCGGCCGGGGCGGGGCCTGCGCGACCCCGCCCCGCGCGCCGCTGACCCCCTCCCCTCCCCCTCGGTGACGGGGCGCGCCGAGGACCCCAGTGCCGCGCTAGGCCGTCCCCTTCGGCGCCTTCCCTGATCTGGGGCTCAGTGTGAGGCTGGGGAGGGGCCTGGTGACTGGAAAGGCCAGGGAGGGCAGGGGTGACGGCTTAGCAAAGGCCTTCTCAGCCTCGCCCGGGTTTGCTGCACCCACCACCCGCTCTCCGTGTCACGATAGCACGGAGCAGCTGGAGATTTGAAGGCTTAGGCTGTTTTGAAGCCTCCAGTTCCTGGGGTAGGGAACCTGGCTCCAAGGTACCCCTTCGCACAGTCCCCAGGTGACACTCACACACGGCTAACCCTATGGCACACCAGAGCACGGACAGCCCCTGCTGGGAGACTCCCCAAGGTCCTCTCCGCTCAGGCAGGTCTAGACAAGGAAGGGTGGTGGCCGGAGACGGGGCCACACCCTGAAGGCACCAGACGGGAGGCCAGGGTGAGAGGCTGCTAGCTCTGGGAAGGGTGGAGGCAGCGGTTGGTAGGGCCTCCTGAGAGTCTGGCCCGCCCTTGTTAAAGATCCACAGCGGGTCTCAGGGTGGCCCTAGGTCAACTCCAACCCCAGATGGCATTCTAAAGCTGCTCCTCCTCCCAGGAAAAATCCAGGGGGTTCACAGGAAGCAGATCCATCAGCCCAAATTGGGCTCAGCTGTCTGGGGTTGGCCATGACTGCCCTCACAGGGCCCCCACCTGCCCAGCTGTCTAGGGCTCAGAGGGCCCAGGAAGCTCGCTGGGGCTAACAACGGCCTGCCTTGCTGCTGGGAAGCCACCTCCTCATAGCAGCCTAGACCAGACTTCCTCTCAGAGGCTCACTGAAACTCCTTCCAACAACAGACTTGCTTAATGACTCAGGGCAGCTTCACCCAATAGAAAGTAGTGTGGGAAGAGATAGAGAACAGAGGGGCGGAAGTGGCAGAAATACAGACGTGAGGCCAGACCTGCCAAAGGTCCCTCCTTGCTGCTGCCTGGGGAACTTGGCTAAACACCCAGGCTTTGGTTCCAATAAGGCAAAATGAAGGGTGGAGTGAGGGATGATGATGATGGTGATAGAAAACTGAAGAGTCTGTTAAATATTTTATTTTGTAATCAAAATAGGCAATACAAACCAGTTGACATAACAAGGATTCATATAAATAACTGTTTATAAACTTTGAGCAAAAATACCCGTGAGCATGGTGGCTGGGCTCCCAACACAGGGTGGGGACCAACCAGGCAGCTCTGCCTTGAGGAGGCAGGGAGGAGCCCAGAGGCCAGGGGATGACTGGGTGGGGCTGCTCTGAATGGAAGGGATACATCACTCCATAAATAAGACACAAAATTATAAAAACACTGAACGAGTCTCATTCAGACCCAAGAATGAGGTCCAGGATGCTTCTCTGACAGCTTAAAGCTCAGCAACAAACTCAGTGGCTGGCTCCTGACTGCTCAGTGCTCCTCCACAGCCTTTCAAAGCCTTGGCTTGCCCTGGCTCCAGATCTAGAGGAGGCCTGGGGCCAGCCCAACAACCAGCTACAAACAACTGTGTTGCGCGATGCTCCCTACATGAGGAGGCAAGAGAAAACAGAAAGCATAGGGTCCCCTAAAGCTCCCGAGAAACAAACCCCAGCAAATATGGAAAGCTAGAACTTAGAGCCAAGCTACACTGGGTACTCTGACCTCTCAAGGGGCCCCAGAGCAATAAAGGGAAAGTACCCTGCCCTGAACCAAAAGAGAGGCACAAATCAGGACTGGGCTCTGGCCCCAGCCCCAGGAGGAGGAGGTGAGCAGCTTCATAGTTGCCCTGTGGTAATGAGGGAAAATCCTGCCCAAACCCAGAACCAAACAGAAGAGTTCGCAGGGGGGCTACCTGGATGGCCTGAGAACAAAGCAGAAGGGAGCTGTGCTAACCGCGTGGCCAGGGCCCCCAGGGACAGCTGGAGAGTGGGGTATCCTGTAAAATGGCGTGACAGCTCAGATTAAGGAGACCTGGATATAACCCCTAGGCCAATTCTAGTGGGTGCTTTGCTAATAAACAGATCACCCTGAGGCATCTTTGAGAACAAGAGCCCTGAGGAAGCAGCAGTGGGACCAGGCCAAAGAATACCCCGAGAGCCAGCTCACATCCCAGGCAGGCTAGCCCACTGGTCTGAGAATTCTCACATGGCCATTGTGACTGGTACTCAGCCTTTCCAATGGGCATCAGCAGGACCAAGGTATGGAGTGGGAATGAATGTGGATCCATCCCAGGGGATGGAAAAGGGAAGTGAGCAGCCTGTTTACCTTTGACGTCAGCCTGGGGCTGGGAACAGTCTGTGAAGCCTTATCAGTCAACCTGTAAAAGTTAATTAGTAACTCACCCTCAAAGGGTAAATTGGGATGACAGGACAAATGCAATCCAACAAGGCAGAGCCAGTGTGGGGCAGGGCAGGCACAGTTCCTTAATCAGCCCTCGGCCCTGGATGTAGGTTCTTGCCCACTCCATCTGGGAATAGCAGCAGATGGGAGGCAAGAGATTGTGAGGGCAGGACCTGCGAGACTGGGCTCTCAGCAGACCAGACCTTCCCTGGGGAAGAGCCTGTGCCACCCCCAGCATTCCTCACTGAGTGACACAGTTTTCTCCCATATCCTGAGCGTATCTGTCAGACATGGTGGTCCTTAAGTCCTCGATGTCACGGCGCAGCTGCTGAACCTCTTCTAGTTTCCTCCTGATCACATCTGGCTTCTGCAAATCTAGTTGAATCCCTGGGTGCTGTGCAGCTGGGGAGAAGAGCATTTCAAGAGAATGTTAGTGAGTCAGTTAGGAGATGCTTTCAAGTGGAGGGGGCGGTATGGATAGGCAGTACTCTGAGGCCCATGGTCTTAGAACACGACGTGTTTTTAAAAAAGCAGATGGGGATAGTGGGCTGCAAACTTGCTGCCTAAGGGCCACTTTCTGTTTGTCTTGCATTTGAATACCCATAAGGATGCTTGTTTCCAAAACAGATTTACTGAATATCTTCTTTGCAAAACACATAAACTCCCAGGGACAGTGACCAGGCCTACAAAGCCTTGTTCACACATTACAAAGGATGGGAAAGTTGGATGGGGGTGACAGGATAATGAAAGCCATTCTCTCCTGTGTCCCATACTGGCCTGAGGACTCACAGTGAATGCCCAGGAGCAGGGAGAGATTGGGGTCATGGCCCTGGGCCCTCTGGGTCACAATGCTACAGACAGCCTGCAGATCTTGAAGGCAACTGGCCAACTCCTGGTGCAGTTCAAATGCCAGCTGGGCTGTATCTGGTGAAGACGGGGACCCTGGCTGGGCTTGGCGCAGGTGTTCCTGGAGGGTCAGATTCTTCTCAATCAGGTCCTGGTTCTGTACTGAAAGCTGAGCACATAGATGGGCAAACATGTTAACCCAAGCCCAGGGAAGGGCAGAGTATCTATACATGTGTGTGAACATACATGAATCACAGGTGATACCAGCCCCTCCCCACCCCTACCAACAGGCTTAGGACTCCCCCCATTCCCAGTACTGGGCCTAAGTTCTCCTGCAGGTAGGTCAGGCCCATAGGGTTCCAGTGTTGGAGAGGAAAGCACTCCCAGCCGACTGAGTCATCAGCCTCCAGGTTTCTGTTCAGGAACCAGAGAAGATACTCCCGCCCCTCGGAACTCTATCTGAAGCCAGTCCCTCAGCCAACTCTGTTAACCAGGCTATTAGAGGAGGCTTAACGTGAACTGTGAAATCCGAGGAGACACTGGTTTCAATCTCTCCCTGCCACCCTGACAAAAGTGGCCACCAGCCAGCCCGATCAGAGTGTGTCAGAGGAATGCAGGGGGCAAGAAAGATAACAATACAGCTAGTGGCCACTGGGTGTGGGGCTGGGGAAGCTAGGAACCTGGAGGACACAGTGCTGGAATGTGTCCTGCTTGCATTTTTACACCTTCACCTCAGTAGAGTCAGGTTTTTTTTTTTTCTACACAGGCCAGCTATTCATGTATGTCTGTGTCTCCTCCTCTTTCTTTCCCTGAACAGCTTAACTCATTTTCCCCTCCCCCCGCCCCCATTCTGTTTTAAAGACACTGAATAGAGTTCCTCCTCTAGTCCCAGCCCTTCACCCACACTGGGCCATGTGACAATCCCAGCTCTGAGACTGCTTCCTAAGTTAGTGAACTCGGTCAACCCTTGCTGACAGCTCTGTATACTCCATGAGAACCACCACCAAGCTCTCAGTCTTCTTGAACCCTCACCCCAAACCCCACAAACCTGTGGCTAAGGGAAAACAAAGGGAGAGAGACTGACTTCTCACATCCAAAACACATTCCTGGGTAAATATGGTCTAAGATGGGCTTAGAACCTTTAATATAAAGGATGATCCAGTGTCCCTTCCCATTCTGCCAAAAATGTTCAGCAGGGACCTCTCAACATGAGGCTCTTGTGGGAGTAGGGACAGGGAAGGTACATCGAGAAGTCAGGCTTGTGGTAGTACCACAAGGCCCAGCAGATGCTGCTCACCTCTTTCACAGCCGTGCGAAGCTGCTGCAGAGCTATCTCCCTCCGCTGGGCCTCCTCTTTCAGGGCCTGGCTTGTTCCTTCTTCCTGAGCCACTTCCTGCTCTAGGCTCTAAATCCGGTGGCAAGGAGTGGTACCATTGAGGAATAACAAGTCTGGTTTAGACCATATCACCTCTGGCCCAACCTGCCCCCTACACTGCTAAGAAATTGTCTTAGAAAAGCACTGATCAGCTACTTCCCTTTGAAACCCTCCTACAGTTGCTGACCAGCTAGAGGCCAGCTTCTCAGCAGGGCATTCCAGACTAGTCTGGCCCTTACCTACTTTTCTTTTTTTTTCCTTTAATTTTTATTTCTTTTTGAGAGAGAGAGAGACAGACAGTGTGAGCACAGGAGAGGC